ATCCATCCATCCATCCATCCATCCATTTTCTAATATGCTTATCCCCACAAGTGTCGCGGGCGTGCTGGAGCCTATCCCAGCTGTCCTCAGGCAGCAGGCGCGGGACACCCTGAACTGGTTGTCAGCCAATCCGCAGGGAACACAATGACGAACAATCACCAGCTCTTACAACCACACCTAGGGACAATTTAGAGTGTTCTATTAACCTGCCATGCATGTTTTTGGAATGTGGGAGGAAACAAGAGTACCCGCAGAAAACCCACGGGGAGAACATGCAAACTTTATAAAGCTTTATATGCCAGACAACTCTTAAATCATGGGAGGGCGGGGGGGGGGCAAGCAACTTATCATAGTCACAATTACAATTGACAACTTAGTTTTCAATGATGGTACAATCGGAGCCGTTTGAAGTCACCGCTTTTAATCCGCAAACACGTCCTACGTGCTCACATATTTTCGTTACAACATTTCCAAAGAGTCGTCTTAATTGCTTTTTTTTTTTTTTTTTTTTACAAAGAATCTCCGAGGTGCTCAAGAATGCCTAACAAAGAACTCCAACCAAATCCATGGGGGCAGGGCGTTACTGTCCCAGCCCATTTTTCTTTATATTATCTCTCATTGGTCATTTTTCACTGCTCAGTTTCGCCTATTGGCTAGTATGGCTGCCAATTAAACGATGCTCGCGTCCAGCGACAGGACTCCGTTCGCTTTAGATCAAGACGACTCAAATCTGGGAGAAAAGGAGGATAAAAGTTCATGTCGGACTTTTTCAAGGGGCTCTAAGGACCGCATGAAGGTAAACCAATGTTTAAATGTCGCCGCAGGGCACAAGTGCGAGTATTTTATAACGTATTCGCTTCGTTTCGTTTGGGAAGAAAAAACTTTGCGAATTTGTGAAGTTAGGCAGCGAGGCAGGCCGAAACCGTTTGTCTGTGTCTTTTCAGTACTTTTCACACAAACGCCGATTCCAACAACAACAGCAGCAGCCACAAAGTTGAACTGGAATGCTTGTCTTGATAACAAGTACGGCCAATTGTGTGTTGCTTCTCCATGTGTATGTAATTACAAGTAGCCGTGAGAGAGTATAAGTCAATTATATTGTTTAAATCCGATTGAGCAGGCAAGCATCTGCTAAGGCTTGCTGCACATAAACAACAACAACAACAAATCCTACTACTGCTAATAATATAATAACTACACTAATACACAAATGTACAAACTAATACACAGCCATGCCTGGTTTGAAATTTTCAGACACAGCTCATGTGCTTCTCATTCAAGTTCTGCAATCAAAAGTGTGACAAAAAGTGACGTTTCTCAATTTATGTTATGACAATGTGACCAAGGCAAATCGTTGCTTTTTTTCTATCAGCATCAAATACCTACCTCCAAAATGAAGTTTAAAATAAGAAAAAATTGGTTTTAAACTGATGATGATGATGATTATTTTACGCAAGAGGAAGAAATAGAACATAACTAACTGCCTTGGCCAAAGTAATCATCACATCATCATAAAACTCATAGCGAGGTGATTACTGTATGTCCAGATCACTTTTCCTGAAGGTGCCAAATGCAGAGGGCAGAATGGTGAAATAGCAGCTTTGTAGGTGGGAGTTTCGGGTTTGAATTGTTGGAGTTTGCGCCTACTCCCCCTTGCGCGCATGTGTTTTCTCCAGGTACTCTCCTCCTTTTCCTCCCACCCACACCCCCAAAACATGCAAGTTAGGTTCACTGAAGACGATAAAATGTCATTTAGATGTGAATGTGTATGGTTGTTTACTGTTCATCTGGTGATCAGTCCTGGGTGGTCCCTGCTTCTCTTACCAAAAGTCAGTTGGCATAGGCGCCATTTTTTTTTTCTTGGTGCATCACTGAGTGCTCATTTATAAGCAAAGCTGTTGTGTGTGTTGTCAGTGACCTGGCCTCAAACAAACCCCAGATTAAAAGATTAAGCGTCACTTGGTGGGTGCTGGTTGGGCGGAAGTGAAAGCGGAGAACACAAGGCAATATTGGTGTTGACCTGTTGAAAAGAAAATCCTGAGATTGACTGCCATGACCAGGGAGGCAAGTGAATTTAGAAAACAGGTCCTGTAAAAGGCAAAGGCAGGGGCCAATGTGCAAGCTGTCGTTTAATTAGCATTTCACCATGCGGTTGAGCCTGAGTGATGGTGAGAACACTGTGGGCCTTCTTTGGGTAAGCGGGATCAGCGTTTACGGCGCAAAAGACGACTTGGAGGCCAAGTGTCACTCATCGTTTAAAAGCAACTCTATGCAGTCATCTGAGCTTAAACTAACAGCTGGCTAATCATCGCCATACTATGCTGGCTTGTAATTAGGAGCAGCTCTGTCATTGCCATGGTGGTCATGGATCGCTCGGAGAATGAGTGGGCCAGTCAGGACACCTCACCCAGAGTGACCTGCGTAAACGTTTCTGAAAATTTGGGGATACAAATTAAAACATGGAAAATGTCACAAAAATTGAGGGATTAAAAAAAGCTCAACTTCATTTCAGTTAAAAACAAAAACAAGAAAAAAAATTCTTGCGAGGAAAATCAAACATTTCTAACATGATTCAAACTGTGAAGTAAACAGAAAACTTTCAGAATTTTCGTGGATGAAAAGAAAAATTTAAAACATGTTTTAGACAAAAAAAAACATTAAAAAAAAGTTTTTCCGATAATTGAACAGTGGAGACGTCAAAAATCTTCAATGGGCTGCTTATGTCACCTGCACTTCGGTAGTTAGCGGGTCGAGGCGAGATCCCGCTAGCGATAGCATTTTTAGCAACAAGCTTCAGCTGGCTACTATTGCCTGCTAAACACGTTGCGGTTTCAGTCCTAACTGAGCAGTCACAGCCTCCATCATCTCACCACTGTGGCGGCGAATAAACTATACTTCTTACAAGTATCATTCTCATGAAGGGATTACGAGGAGTAATTAACAGAGGGAAAGCCGGCAAAGTCATGCTAATTACTAAACTAACCTAATGTCATTGTGAAAGACTGGAATTAAAAGCGCTCGGGTGACTGAGTAAACTTCACAGAGGTCTCACTGGAACAACTTTGATCAGTAAAATAGTCAATTTAGTGACAGTCTCGAGAGAACATTCTTACAATACAATACAATACAATACAATACAATACAATACAATACGATACAATACATGCTGATTCATATAGCGCTTTCACAACAGCGGCAGCTGTAACAAAGCACTTAACAAAACAGTTAACATAAAGTAAAATAATAAACACAACACATAACGTAAAACACGGACAGTCGTGCAGTCCTAACTACTTTTCTCTTACGCTTTGTTGTATAAAGCAGTTTGAGATGAAAGAGGAGAGAATCAAAGTGTGCTTTCACCAGTGGATCAGAGACGTCATGCTCAAAATGTGCACACATCGGCTACAAGCAAAGTTTCAAAGTCAACAAGAAGCTGTAGCATCCATTGACGAAAAAAAGAGATTGGTTCACTTCTCCATATTCTTACATAATAATGCAATACACAGCTAAACATATTGACGGCATACCATAAGTCAACCTTGAGGAGTGGCCTAGAACAGCGGTCCCCAACCTTTTTTGCCCCACGGACCCGTTTAATGTCAGACAATATTTTCAGGTGTGACGGATAAATACAACAAAATAATATGATATGAACTGCATGAAAACGGTGGTATTTTCAAAATATAATAATACACATGAATCATGACATGAGGAACGTCCTATATGGCCGCAACACTCTCTGGTCACTATGGTCACGTTTAAACCTGCCTTCAAAATAAGATACACCGCAAATCCAAAGTGCATGAAAAATACCACTCATCATCGCCGCATATTATGCAGAGTGGCCTTGGTGCGTGGGAATCTCCCGTTGAGATAAATCCGTATTTTAATTTGGACTCCTGATACTGTCGATTAAATGTAGCCTTCTTTTTCTTGAAAGTCATAGGCTCGTCTTCTGACTCCTGGCTGGACCTATCCCCCTTCCCACGTTTGATTTTTACTCATGTTGCTAGTTCCTGGGTTTCATTTTAGCAATAACCTATCACATGACCGAGAAGCGCGCCTTGACCTGCGTCAAGAGTGTCATACTGTAGACGGATGTGGGGATTGCTGGCCTAGAAGATTAAACGTAAATTAATGTTGAGGATAAGCGATTCATAGTGTATTGATTGTATTACTAATGTGATTAGTGATTTCACTGTGTAGTACTCTTTTGATTTTGCAAAATGATTTCAAAATTATGTTACAGTAAAGTTGATTTTTATTTATTTTTTTCATCAATTTCTGTCAGCAGCATTCTTTTTTATGCCTCATATTTAGATTGATATCTACATTTGCGCAAAAAATATGTAGGCTACTTTGCTTCTGTTTACATTTGATAACTATATAGTAGCACGATATAGTTAGCAGGCAGACAGACAAGCAAGAGGGCATGAGGGCAGTGGTGGGTGTGCATATGACTAATGTTGTGTCTAATGTGTGTCGAGTATATATTGTCTTGTATCGTATGTAATTGTCCAATTTATGTTGTGTAGCGTATGTATACGTTTTTGCTCAATGTATGTAGCAGCACAGAGGGCCTGTCCTCCAAGACAAGTTTCTCCTAGGGGAGACCAAATAAAAGTCAAATTCAATTCAATTCAAATTCACTACTGGACGCATCAATCATTTCATACGGGTCTGTTTAATGTGACCTTCAAAATAAAGTGAGAAAAGGTAAGCGGCCATAGTGTATTACTGTGTTGCATAATTTTTATAGAATAACTGAAAATATATCGTTGTACATCGTTATCGTGATCTAAAATGGCCAATATTGTCATAGACGATTTTTTTCTATATCTCCCAGCACTACCCATAAGTATTTACGTCTGTGTGGGAATATTTGGCGAATAAGCATTACATTTAGCTGTTCAGCAGTCATTCACTAAAGCCAAGCCAGGCATTGTTTCAATGCCTTTGTCGTTGCTTTGGGCTCTCACATCATCAAAGGGATTTTTTAAAACTTGGACGCTGGGCCTGAAAGATGAGCTAGCTTAGCGCTAGATTGGACGAGGCTCGTAAAACACAACGGGGATGGATTTGAAATGAGACCAGAGAAAAATAAACATCCTGGGTCCTGCCATTGGCGCAGGATCCCGGAGGTTAAAGTAAGTTATTTTAAACAAAAAGGAAAACCTTTCCATGGGATGTTACGGTGCATCAACATGCCGGTTTAGGCTTAATTCCGATATGCTTGCATGAGATAATTGAATATGGATATGTATGATGAAGATAAAGCACTATATAAAAGCACTCTATTTGCCATTATGATCATATTGGAGTTTTCATTTTTTAGACTATGACGTTTTTGGGAAAAAGTACAATGAGTAATTTCTACGAATTAATTAGGAAAAAAAGAAGAGCGAATTGATACAGTGTCGTTATAAAATATGTCTGGGAAATCTTGCAGTTTTCGTATGAAGCAAGGCCGCTTGCCGCTGCTGTCTCTCATTATGCAACTGGTCCCCCTCCCACATTCTCCTGATGATTTCATGATGTGGAAAGTTGTGGAGAAAGGCCTCGGCCCCAACCCCTGCCTGTCATCCATGCGGATCCGTCTCAAGTGTCATGAGATGATGTTTTGAACCCAAGCCACCTGTGTTACAGGTGTCAGGTACAGTCAGCGGTCAGGTCGTCGTCATGGGAGAAGACGCGGCTTTCGTGCTCTTTAGTGGGGGAAAAAAATGTCAGCCCGCACATGTTTGACGGTCTTGGAAGCACGGCGGGATGTTTGGTCTGCAGAAGCAACACAGCTGCGAGATTACAGCGTGGCCAAGCTACAAAGAGACCACACGGCAGTTTCACACACACGCGCAGAATTGTCACTGTAACCATTTTGAATGGGCCAGAGAAACCAAAACGATGTGATTTACAGTATTTTCCCATACGGTGCTTGAGGGACGTTTATTTACGCTACTGCACATCGTGCCAGGCATCTGTTTTGGGCAAGTTGGAGGCCAGTTATAATACATTGTTCACGTAATATTTAAGAATATCTTTCTGGGTTTTCTTGGCGGTGCGTGTTGTGAAAATGGGGGTAATGGCATGTTAGAGTCTAATTACTCTTACAGAAACATAATGGCACCACCTGGTCATTCGTTTTCCCACAAGGTTCGGAGGGAGTGTCTATATGTGGTGTGGAGCGTATTTATTCAAGTGGACGACGCGTATGGCAATTAATTGGTGCAATGCTGCTATTAGAACGAAGGGTGTGCCGATCATGCTTTTTTTTTTTCATCACCCGAGCCCCAATTTGAATCTTCGGTTTTAATTTTTAATACCGAGTCCAGATTCGAAACTTTCGGTACCACAGGACATTGTCCCATATTGTTTTTATTTCACTAATCACCACACTATTGTTTCTTTTTTTTCTCTTTATTTTCCTGCATGTCTGATGATGTGTGTGATGTGGTAAGTACGTTCTCGACCCTGATTAACTATCGCCAATGAGGGACAGACTGGGCCCACGTGGGCCAGCCTACAACAATGACGGATCGACGGGCCCACCACTGCTGTTTATCGTATTTTTTTCAGAAAGTGTCTGGGAACTGATTGAATCTATTTGAGCGGAGCACTATTGAAGGGGTTTATTTACTCAACTGCAAAGAGGGCCAAATGTCTGTTAGGGGCATGATGTTATGTGGGAGTCCAAAATCTTGGAGTGTTGATTGACTCGGACCTGACTTTCAGCAATCATATCAAATCAATCACTAAAACAGCCTTTTACCAGCTGAAAGACATATCCAGATGGAAGGATTGCACACTCCAAGCAGACCTGAAGAAACATATCCATGCCTTTATTTCCTGTAGACTGGATTATTTTAAGGGTCTTCGTACTGGACTCCCTTCAAAGTGCATCAAACAGCTGCAGCTCATTCAGAACGCTGCATCTCGGGTTCTGACTAGAACATGAGATCAGAACATATTACTCCAGTCCTAATGGCCTTAGACTGGCTCCCAATCAGACTTAGAATAGATTTTAAAATACTGCCCCTGGTCAATGAATTGAACTGGTTTTGCTCCTGAATACATCAAAGAAATCCAGATTGAATATAAAACCCAGTAAGCTTCTGAGATCTGCAGACTTGGGTCAACTAGTGGAGCCCAGAGTTCGAAGTAAACATGGTGAAGCTGTATTTAAGTGTTATGCTGCACACAAATGGAATAAGCCGCCAACCGAAGTCAATACATGTAAATTTGAATATTCAATATATTATAGCATTATGTCCTCATTGCGATTCTTTGGACCAAAGGGTGAGAGAAGTGCATCGATTGGAGGTGTGGTGTTTATTTGTTGAAGTGAATCACACGTCCGGTAACTAATTGTGGCACAGGACCACAATGAAGCAGTGAAACCATTTTCTTCGTGCAAATACAATTTTACTATAATATGCGGTCATCATTCTGGACAGTAATGCAAGTGTTGGTCCTGCATTGATTGAAAACTGATGACCTGCAGACCTGTGACATTTAAGAGTTTTTGTGATGTTTCTTATCAAACAAACTATTTTACCATTCTTTTACAATTTTATATTTAAAAAAAAAAACCTTAATTGTCTTTTCCTCTGCCAACAGTCCAAGCTGAACATGGAGAGTTTGACTAAGCCGGAGCTGCTGATGCTCTTTAGCATCCTGGAGGGAGAGCTGGAAGCCCGAGACATAGTCATTGATGCTCTCAAGGTACTCACACTCACTATCATCATGATGACTACATCCTCTGCCTGAAATTAAATCCTGAATGCGAAAAAAAAAACACCACACACACACACACACACACACACAACCGCACACACACACACACACACACACACACACACACACACACACACAC